GACACCATAAACAAAATTGTAGACTTGCACCAGGCTGGGAAGACTGAATCTGCAATAGGTAAGCAGCTTGGTTTGAAGAAATCAACTGTGGGAGCAATTATTAGGAAATGGAAGACATACAAGACCACTGATAATCTCCCTCAATCTGGGGCTCCACGCAAGATCTCACCCCGTGGGGTCAAAATGATCACAAGAACGGTGAGCAAAAATCCCAGAACTACACGGGGGGACCTAGTGAATGACCTGCAGAGAGCTGGGACCAAAGTAACAAAGCCTACCATCAGTAACACACTACGCCGCCAGGGACTCAAATCCTGCAGTGCGAGACGTGTCCCCCTGCTTAAGCCAGTACATGTCCAGGCCCGTCTGAAGTGCATTTGGATGATCCAGAAGAGGATTGGGAGAATGTCATATGGTCAGATGAAACCAAAATATAACTTTTTGGTAAAAACTCAACTCGTCATGTTTGGAGGACAAAGAATGCTGAGTTGCATCCAAAGAACACCATACATACTGTGAAGCATGGGGGTGGAAACATCATGCTTTTGGGCTGTTTTTCTGCAAAGGGACCAGGACGACTGATCCGTGTAAAGGAAAGAATGAATGGGGCCATGTATCGTGAGATTTTGAGTGAAAACCTCCTTCCATCAGCAAGGGCATTGAAGATGAAATGTGGCTGGGTCTTTCAGCATGACAATGATCCCAAACACACCACCCGGGCAACGAAGGAGTGGCTTCGTAAGAAGCATTTCAAGGTCCTGGAGTGGCCTAGCCAGTCTCCAGATCTCAACCCCATAGAAAATCTTTGGAGGGAGTTGAAAGTCGGTGTTGCCCAGCGACAGCCCCAAAACATCACTGCTCTAGAGGAGATCTGCATGGAGGAATGGGCCAAAATACAAGCAACAGTGTGTGAAAACCTTGTGAAGACTTACAGAAAACGTTTGACCTGTGTCATTGCCAACAAAGGGTATATAACAAAGTATTGAGAAACTTTTGTTATTGACCAAATACTTATTTTCCACCATCGTTTGCCAATAAATTCATTAAAAATCCTACAAAGTGATTTTCTGGATTTTTTTTCCTCATTTTGTCTGTCATAGTTGACGTGTACCTATGATGAAAATTACAGGCCTCTCTTATCTTTTTAAGTGGGAGAACTTGCACAATTGGTGGCTGACTAAATACTTTTTTTCCCCACTGTATATATATATATATATATATATATATATACATATACACACCAGTCAAAAGTTTGGACACACCTATTCATTCAAGGGTTTTTATTTATTTTTTACTATTTTCTACATTGTAGAACAATAGTGAAGACAACAAAACTATGAAATAACACATTTGGAATCATGTAGTACCAAAAAATGTGTTAAACAAATCAAAATATATTTTACATTTGAGATTCTTCAAATAGCCAACCTTTGCATTGATGACAGCTTTGCACACTCTTGGCAGAAGATTGCTCTATTTGGTAAAAGACCAAGTCCATATTTTGGCAAGAACAACTCAAATAAGCAAAGAGAAACGACAGTCCATCATTACATTTTAGCAGACGCTCTTATCCAGAGCGACTTTCAGGAGCAATTACAGTTAAGTGCCTTGCTCAAGGGCACATCGACAGATTTTTCACCAAGTCGGCTCGGGGATTAGAACCAGCTACCTTTCGGTTACTGGCACAACGCTCTTAACCACTAAGCTACCTGCCACCCCATTAAGACATGAAGGTCAGTCAATATGGAACATTTCAAGAACTTTTAAAGTTTCTTCAAGTGCAGTCGCAAAAAACATCAAGCACAATGATGAAACTGGCTCTCATGAGGACCGCCACAGAAATGGAAGACCCAGAGTTACCTCTGCTGCAGAGGATAAGTTAATTAGAGTTACCAGCCTCAGAAATTGCAGTCCAAATAAATACTTCACAGAGTTCAAGCAACAGACACATCTCAACATCAACTCAGTCACAGAGGAGACTGCGTGAATCAGGCCTTCATGGTTGATTGTCTGCAAAGAAACCACTACTAAAGGACCCCAATCATCGTCAGCAAAACAAAGGAGGTGATTGTGGACTTCAGGAGGAACCAGGCACGAGCATGTGCATGGGCACTCCCCCATCCTCATCAACAGGGCTGCTGTGGACACAGTCAAAAATGTCAAGTTTTTGAAATGGTCAAACCACACGGACACCGCGTTGAAGAAGGCACGACAGCCACTCTTCAACCTCAGGAGGCTGAAGAAATTCTGCCTGTCCCCTACAGGAGCACCATCGAGAGCATACTGTCGGGCTGCATCACAGCCTGGTACGGCAACTCCACCACCGCAGACCGCAAGATGCTACAGAGGGTGGTACGCTCAGTCGAAAGCACAATTGGGTGCACACTGACTGCCCTCCAGGACACCTACATGACCAGGTGTTGCAGGAAGGCCAAGAAGATAATCAGGGTCCCCAGCCATGGCCTGTTCTCCCCGCTTCCATCACTAAGATACGGGCATTACAGGAGCATCATGGCAAAAACTGGAAGACTGGCCAACAGCTTCTACCCCCAGACCGTCAGGCTGCTGAATAGCCACCACTAGTCAACTACCCCCTCCCCCTACTTAATGGTGATATAGTTGTTTTCTGGCACAGTATCCGTTATTGTGATATGTGCTACCATCACCGCAAAGTGTCCGTTTAGACTTTCAAGACCCCTGGTCTGAGGACAATTGGACATGGTCCCCATAAAATGGCCTAAATTGTTAACCCTCTGCTGCTACTGCCAGTACTACAGTCCTTGCAGGACCTGATCACTACCAGGCAACGAGCCTGAGGCTATATTAGTCCATTAGAGGAGGCATTTAATCAAGACACAAAGTCAAGGGCTCTGACCAGGTCTCATAGAACTGAGCACTCTGCCGGCCAGCCAGTCCAGGATGATTTAGAGCAGTGGCTGGCAGTCCTAATGCACACCACCATGCAGGCCGGGCAGAGGACAGGGGATGCAGGCAGCAACAACACAATCACTGAATTAGAGCACTTCTCATAAACACTACAGACTTGGGTAAAGAGGCTTATCCTCAGTGGCAGGTGCCAGGGATGTAGGGTTTTAGGGTCATTTTTCATGTTATGTAATGTATTACTGTAAATATATCTATTGCTCGAATCTGACTTGAATTGCATAACCAACTATTTCCAAGACACATTTTGGGGTTTTCCGGTTGCCACGTTATAGGGATAATAAAATATGAGTGGAGTAAAGAGGTGAGGAATTAACCAGAAGATGCGATCGAAGGAAGTGCAAAACATTGTAAAAAACTAAATGTTTTTATTGAGGTGAGAGAACAGTGGCATGTACAGTAAGTCATGTCACAAACCAGGGTTGGCTGTCCTCCATTCCATCTCCTCGTTCCCCATTCCAATGGTCCAGTCCTGGCCATCTTCTCTGCCTAATACTTATCCCCTTGTCACGAGTGTCAGTGTAATGCGGTGGATCGAAGTCAGGCGCAGGACACAGAACTCAATGAAACGTACTTTACTGAACAAGTAAAGAAATCCATACACGATACCTCCACACAGGGAGGAACAAACCCGCTCACCAACGACAAACGAAACGAAAAACAAACACGCACAAAACACATTGGGAGACACCGGGTTAAATAGGGAAGGAGTAATCACATAATGGGAAACAGGTGTGTAACAATCAGACAACAGGTGGAACATAGAAACATTGAACATAGATCGGCAGCATCTAGTATTCCGGTGACGACGAATGCCGAAGGCTGCCCGAGCAAGGAGGAGGGGCAGCCTCGGCAGAATCCGTGACACCCTTAGCATGATGTGTACTGTATGTAAAGAGGAGAGCCTTCTGACTTGGATAACTACCGTCCAATTTCCAAGCTATCTCCCTTTGCCAAAGTCTTAGAGTCCCTGGCCAACTCCCAGCTTAGAACTTTTTTTACCTTCTCATTTTATTCTTAATGAGCACCAATCTGGCTTTAGACCTGGACATAGCACTGTTTCAGCAGCTACACTTGTCTTAGATGATGTGCTATATTGTTTAGACCATAAAATCACTGTACTGCCTTATTTATTGACCTGTCGAAAGCGTTTGATACGGTTAACCATTTCTTACTTGTTCAAAGGTTGTCTGAAATAGGCCTAGATCAGGCATCTTGCAATTGGTTCAAGAACTATCTAACGGACAGGATATAATGGGCTAGGCTAATTATACTTAAATTAATCCAGATTTAAAAAATCTGAGACGTTGCTTAACTTCAGACAAAGGTAAATTAGATTAACGATGTGCACTTGGTGCTGACCTGAGGATGCTTCAAAAACCAGGGATGGGACACTGATCCATCAGCATTGTGTGGAATTGGAGCAAGTCACCTAAACCAAACAATGGATGGAGGTAAAAGAAAACATTCAAAGAATTTCTGTGACTTTAAAAAAAAACCTCTTCAAGCGAATTGTGTCAAACCACCCATTTATGGAGAACAAACAGCATAATTCATCAACAGAAAACAAGAAGAAGAACGCCTGGACCACCATCTGTAAAGAATTCAACTCAAAGGAAAAAGGAAACAAAAGAACGCTACAATAACTTCAGGTAAGATACTGTATTTATTGTTGGCCCACTTTTGCAAATCAGATTCACTTTGAAATGGTAGTTTTCTTGTGTAACAACACAGTGGGGCCTAAATGTATTTGTGTGACATAAATGTAACACAAACAATATCATCCATAATTACTAATCTCATTTCTATATTGTTGTATTTCTAAGGTCCTGTGGAAAAACATCAAAATCAACTTAAAGCAGACAAATGCTGTTGCTCGTAGTGAGCGTTTCAAGACTGGTGGCAGAACCCCAGTAAAACCAGATGAGCTGGGGAACTTGTTGACCAGGATCATTGATAGCCAGCAACCCCTGGATGGTATCCCCGATGATGACCATTTAGACAGTTCAGATGGGAGACGGTTCCAATCCTAATTTGGTAGGACACATCCATTCAACATGTGCCATCCTCGGACAGCAGGGAATATGTAATGTTGTCAGTCATCTCTTGCACTCCCATAATAAAAAATATGTAATGAACTCAACTCTTGAAGAAATTATGTTCTCTATTGCAACAATGTAATCATTTTCTAGAGGCAGATGATCACCATAGCTTGGAGGGAATAAGACCGGGTGAAGGTCAGCCCGCTACATATGCAGCAGCCAGGAGGAAAGATTGTGTCACTAACCCGGGCCGGAGGACAAAGACAAATAGGCTGAGCATGCATGAGGAACTCGCCATGGAATTTCATGAACGCAAACTAATGTATTTAAAAGAAGATCATGATGTGAAGATGCAAATCATTAATGTTGAGTTGGCTATGAAGGAGGAGGAGAGAAATATGAAGCAGCAGCAGTACCAATGTTCTTCACAAATAAGCACCAGTTTGGGGTCCCGATATTTCCATTTGTGAATTAAAACCCTTTTCGTTACCAATCCATGGGTATTGTTTGCTTCAATCACTTAAGCTATCTTTGTTATGAGAAGTGCTGCATAGCTAAAGCATCGCTGTCCATTTCGGTCATTGTCTGACCGAAACCATGGGAACACCTGGGACATCTTCAGTGTGAGGATCTGGGCAGCTGTACTGTTTGAGGTAATAGTGAAGCACTGCTGTTGCAATTATGACAATGCAGCATCATCTTGGTTGAAAGCGCAATGTGTTTCTGAGACACTGGAAACGACTCTTCCATACATCAAACATGCGCTCCACTACACCTCTGGTGCGGATATGAGCTTGGTACCGTTGTTGCTCAGGTCCTATTGCATGAAGATAGGGGGTGAACAAGAAGTTGGTCTGTGCATAAACCCACTGTCACCAAGTATGATTCCACTATGTTGTCCTCCTTCAAGCTGAGGAGACAAAGAAAAGTTTGGGAAAATCCTTGAGTCGCACCTTTCCAACATGCAACAATGTTGGAGAACTGCAAATCGGGAGTGCACACATGTACATTTATTGAGAACCAGTTTTTACGATTCCTGTACTCCTCAGTATCTGCTGTAGAGGGACACTTGATGGGAATATGACATCCATTTATACAGTCAAGGACTCCAGGAAAGTTCCCATATTCATAGAACTCTACCTTGAAGTTGGCTTGGGCAGCAGCATCAGGGAACTTGATGTAATTGTCTTTCAGTTCACATATAGCATTGCAGACATTGTGGACTATTCTGCATACAGTCGGTTCACTTACACCACACAAATGTATTGTTTCACGATGGAAGGTTCCAGATGCCAAAAACGTCAAGGTGATCAGTACGTGTAGGGATGGAGGGATGGGCCTTCCCCCAAGAGAGTCAGATGAAAGCCTTGGCTCAAGCAAACAAATGATGTCAGCTGCATTTTCTTTGTACATACGGAAACGGTCACGGAAATTGATTTCATCAAAATCATTCAGTGGGTTGCTCTTGTCTATAACCGCCCTTCTGTCAGGCCTTGGTGATGCTCTTTGATCATCATTGAAATAGTCCAGGTAATCCATTTTCCTCCATTGCCAAGGTCAACCTGGGGGCCAAAATCTATTAATCTGAAGTTAAACTTGCCTCTGGGCAGGTGTAATTTAAACCTTTACTTAGATGTAGATTAACTCTAATCGTCCTCAATCTAGACTAGGGCAAGTCTGAGACTATTTTAAACCATGTCTGAAAAAAGCCATTTCAGTTAGTCCAGTTTAAAAGTGCAATTTAGTCTAGGATTATGCTTAATCTGTGTCCGTGAAACCGCCCCAATGTGTGCTTACCAAATCTATTTTCCTCAATATTACAAAAGGTATGCGGTAGGGGTCGATTTTGGGCCCTGTTCTCTTCACTATTTCTATAAATAATATTGGTGTATCTGTTAAAACCTGTAACATTCCTCTCTATATGGATGATACAGTTATTTACTCCTGTGTCTCCTCAGTACAGCTGACCTTTCATGACCTTCAGCATGGTTTTGTCTCAATTCAAAAAATAGCTTACTGATATTAAACTAAATGCTAATAAAGTTTATGTTGTTCTCCAGGTCTCGTAATATTGACCCTGAGGACCTGCATATTTGCACATTGAATGAAGCCCAAATTTAGCAAGTTCCCCATTATAAGTACTTGGGTATTTGGATTGACAATAAGCTCTCCTTTAAAACACATTGAAAAACGGACAAAAAAGTTGAGAATTAAGAGATTTTCAATGTACCGATTCCATGGCACATAGTATATGAACTGATACAAAAAAACAACACTTGATTCAACACTTCAAGTTTTTCAATTGAAATTATTATACAAAATTCTTGCCACCAACAGAATGCTATATATATGGGGCATACAACAATCAGCTCTGTAGATTTTGCTGTGAAGAGACAGAATCACTAGATCATTTATTCTGGTATTGCCCCTACGTAGCTTGTTTCTGGTCACAGGTTCAGGAATGTTTAAAAAATCACAGCATTCACTTAAAATGAACCTTTCAAATAGCAGTGTTGGGCGATTTGGAAAGCCATAGTCAATAAATCAATAATATAATAATACTCGTAGGAAAGGTTTTCATCTTTAGCTCACAATCTGTGTATACTATGCGATTAGAAAGGTTCAAAATTAATGTAAAACATCACAGCACAATTGAAAAATATATGGCACAAGGAAACCAAATGAGGGTGGTCTATGGTGATAGGTGGGATGGGCTGAGAGTGGCTGAGGGGTGGGATTAAAGACCTTATGTTTGGTAATGTATTATTGTTATGTGATTGCTGTATATAAAAGTACCTTGTAAAGGGGTTATCCCACTGGCTATAGGGTGAACGCACCAATTTGTGAGTTGCTCTGGCTAAGAGCGTCTGCTAAATGACGTTAATGTGCCCTTGAGCAAAGCACTTAACCCTAATTGCTCCTGTAAGTCGCTCTGGATAAGAGCGTCTGCTAAATGACTAAAATGTAAATGTAAAATGTAATGTCAAATGTATATGTCAAATATGTGTATATGTAGCCGAAAAGCTGTAATGGGTTAATAAAAATAAAAATAAAGGTTTCTTTCATAGAAATAAATCCTTCCTCACTTTGGAAAGTAGAAGTAAGATTGTTCAAGTAACGCTTCTCCCAGTACTTGATTATGGTGATATAATCTACATGCATGCGGCAGCCTCCGCTTTAAAACATTCAACACTTTGTTTTATTACTGGGGCCAACTTTCATACACATCACTGCATTTTGTATAGTTCTGTTGGCTGGGAGTCTCTGACTACCAGAAGGGCCCAGCATTGGCTACTCTTTGTTTATAAAGCGGTTCTTCAGAGACACTCCCATTACTTTAGCTCACGTATAGTGGCTTGCGAACGTTTTCACCCACCTTGGCATTTTTCCTATTTTGTTGCCTTACAACCTGGAATTAAAATGGATTTTTTGTTTGTATCATTTGATTTAGACAACATGCCTACCACTTTGAAGATGCAAAATATATTTTATTGTGAAACAAACAAGAAATAAGACAAAAAAACAGAAAACTTGAGCGTACATAACTATTCCTCCCCCCCCCAAAGTCAATACTTTGTAGAGCCACCTTTTGCAGCAATTACAGCTGCAAGTCTCTTGGGGTATATAAGCTTGGCACATCTAGCCACTGGGACTTTTGCCCATTCTTCAAGGCAAAACTGCTCCAGCTCCTTCAAGTTGGATGGGTTCCGCTGGTGTACAGCAATCTTTAAGTCATACCACAGATTCTCAATTGGATTGAGGTCTGGCCTTTAACTAGGCCATTCCAAGACATTTAAATGTTTCCCCTTAAACCACTTGAGTGTTGCTTTAGCAGTATGCTTAGGGTCATAGTCCTTCTGGAAGGTGAACCTCCGTCCCAGTCTCAAATCTCTGGAAGACTGAAACAGGTTTCCCTCAAGAATTTCCCTGTATTTAGCGCCATCCTTCATTCCTTCAATTCTGACCAGTTTCCCAGTCCCTGCCAATGAAAAACATCCCCACAGCATGATGCTGCCACCACCATGCTTCACTGTGGGGATGGTGTTCTCGGGGTGATGAGAGGTGTTGGGTTTGCGCCAGACATAGTGTTTTCCTTGATGGCCAAAAAGCTCAATTTTAGTCTCATCTGACCAGAGTACCTTCTTCCATATGTTTGGGGAGTCTCCCACATGCCTTTTGGCGAACACCAAACATGTTTGCTTATTTTTATCTTTAAGCAATGGCTTTTTTTCTGGCCACTCTTCCATAAAGCCCAGGTTTGTGGAGTGTACGGCTTAAAGTGGTCCTATGGACAGATACTCCAATCTCTGCTGTGGAGCTTTGCAGCTCCTTCAGGGTTATCTTTGGTCTCTTTGTTGCCTCTCTGATTAATGCCCTCCTTGCTTGGTCCATGAGTTTTGGTGGGCGGCCCTCTCTTGTCAGGTTTGTTGTGGTGCCATATTCTTTCCATTTTTTAATAATGGATTTAATGGAGCTCCGTGAGATGTTCAAAGTTTCGGATATTTCTTTTTAACCCAACCCTGATCTGTACTTCTCCACAACTTTGTCCCTGACCTGTTTGGAGAGCCTGGTCTTCATGGTGCCGCTTGCTTGGTGGTGCCTCTTGCTTAGTTGTGTTGCAGACTCTGGGGCCTTTCAGAACAGGTGTATATATACTGAGATCATGTGACACTTAGATTGCACACAGGTGGACTTTATTTAACTAATTATGTGACTTCTGAAGGTAATTGGTTTCACCAGATCTTATTTAGGGGCTTCATAGCAAAAGGGGTGAATACATATGCACGCACCACTTTTCCGTTATACATTTCTTTCATTTCACTTCACTAATTTGGACTATTTTGTGTATGTCCATTACATGAAATCCAAATAAAAATCCATTTCAATTACAGGTTGTAATGCAACAAAATAGGAACAATGCCAAGGGGGATGAATACTTTTGCAAGGCACTGTATTAACTGAAGATCCAGACATTTTCAGACCCGCTGTCTGGACTGGCTGGTTCTGCAGGTCCCACGGGTCTCCACTGACCTGGGGAAAATTCTTTGCGTTTTTATGACCCCCAGCTCATGGAATAGCCTTCAGGCCACCTTGAAATTAGACTCGCTGGTCTCCATTGGAAAGTTTAGATCGAGTTTAAGGGAGGCGATATGTGAGAGTTGTGTTTGTTTTGATAAATGTTGTTGTATTTATAGTATTGATATTATTTATTGTATGTTCATGTTCACAGGGCTCCCTTGCAAATGAGACCCTGGTCTCAACGGTGACCCACCCTGTATATTAAAAAAAGCACAGAGATGCGTTACCATGCTACCTATCCTCTGCCTCTTCTGACTTCGTCCCTCTCAGAAGCTTCCCTTCACACTCAGTACGGTCCTATTTGATCAATGTCCTTCCTCATGATGTCACAAATTATTCGGCCCCGCCTCCTCCTCGTCACCTTTGTCTCCTGTTATATTGGGGACACTCA